AAAAAAAATGAATGAAGACAAAAATACAAAAGAAATACAGGGATCAAAGTAATGTCTAACATGATTGCATAATATTGTATACCCTTGGTAGAAGTAAACTATAATTTGGGTCTAAGCTTCTTGGATAATGAGATATTAGAAAAGAATTTTATAGGTTCCCACAGGATGGTCCCAGAATGGTGTATTAAACAAATTTCTCAACACATTTTTATTTTATATACAGTACAACTGGGAACTGGACTCAGTGCTTACTCTCAGGCTAGTTGAACAAAGACAAGTTGATGGAATTATCATAATGAGCAGTGAGGGTCCAGTTGTGGAGCATGAGAGTGGACACTAAGGACATTCCCTGTTGGGACCTGAGGAACCTAGGTGGCTTCTAGGGAGGAAGGAACATCAGTGTAGCATCCTGAAGACTAGGAAGAAACACACAGTAAAGAAGGGACCAGGCCAACTGAAATAGATGAAATAGTCACACGCAAAGGGAATAGAAGCGGACATCTCTCTCTTTATATGAATCAACAGTTGTGTCTCAAGTCCAAAGAACAGAACACTTGAAATAAATTTTAAACCAACTCATAATAAAATATCCCCTAACAAATGTTGATAGAATTAAACTTTCTAAAGACAGTAGATGTCATTTACCTAAAATTGTGATATGGTTAAGTGAACATCTCAGCACTGTGCTGAGTTAATGTTGAAACATTATGGTTAATGTTGAAACCTAGTAACATTCTCACTAGAGTCAGAATCAAGAATGATTTCGATTTTCCTTGTTATTCAACATTTTCTTGGCCATATGGGATAAAGATAAATAATAGATGTCTTGTAAAGAAGAACAACTCCATAATTTGCCTTTTTTATTTTCAGGTAATACATAAAACACCTGACATAAAACACCTAAGAGACTCTACATATAAGGAGTTATAACTAATAGGAAATCATCAGGGTTACTGATGCAAAAGAAATACACGATAATCTAAAATACTCCTGCACCTTAGCAAAAAAACCCATGAAATTTAGTGGAAAACAAAAGCTTCTAAATACTTGGAACAAAGCTATTAAGCCTAGAGGTGTACATTTAACAAAAGGAATACAAGATCTTGAAAAAATTATAAAGTGCTATTGAAATGTATAACATAGGATATGAATGTTTTAGAGTGTTATAGGGAACCAATTTCAACTAATTTATGAATGCAAAGTGATTTTAATCAAAATAAGATACTTATGAATCCACAATATCTTGCTTGAACTGCACATGAGG